ATTTTTTTAAATAATTACATATTTTTTTATTATTTGGTTAAATTAAAACTAAGTAAAATATTTTTTGCCATGGTCTCTAAAATAACTTATCATTACAAATTTTGTAAGTCAATTTTTAAGAAGTTTACTTTCTACCTTTGTAACACAGTGATCTTTAGGCAAATTACAGTTCATATCACTTTTTTCTCACTGAACTTAAAATTATAACACTCACCCTCCCCTCTTATCTATTAATTTTTTTTTTCTTTCAATTTGGGCTTTAATATTCAAGTCTAATCAACTTAAAATTTTAATTTTTTCAACTATGAAAAATGTTCTTAATAAAAAAAATGTAGTGAACTATGAATTTGTAGCAAAACTTTGATTGAATATTGTATTATAATTTATATTCAGGAATGAGTTTAATAAGAGCAAATTTTTATTTGCAAACACATTACTAATAAATACATTAAATTAAAACTTGTGTATGAATTTATTCCTTAATTTGTACATGCTCGTGCATGGATTTTAATTTTTTATTCTTAAATTTAACCCTTTCATGATTTATAAAAAAAAAACTAAAAACCTTGTCATAACAAAGAAATTAAATTTCAAATATTATCATTTCATTACTTTATTATAATGTGATTTTACTTAGAACGGTATTGAGTAACATAATCATTTAATTATGATTAATTTAGTACAACTCATATTTTTAGTGTAGCATTAAGAATTAAAAGTCTTTTTTTTGGTAAAAATTTAGTTTACAATTTATTATGAGTGGCGAGGGGTCATGAAATAATTTCTTTACAGCTTCCATAAATAAATCAATTTTCTAAATGTATTTAGCCTAAGTGTTGATTCAAGTAGGAGAAGTTAAATTAATTATAAAGACATTATTTTAAATTTTTATCTATCAATTTAAATTTGATTGGTTCATGATAATTTTGAAAATTCTTAAAATTTAAGAATAAATTATTGTTTAATATGAATAAACTTATGCAAAAGTCCCAATTCTTGTTATGATTTTTGCTTCAATGGAAAGATGATTTTTTTAAAAATATCTTCAATTTATAACATGAGTTTATAAACTAAATTGTGAAGGTTTAACTGATTGTAAAAAAATTATATAAAATCAATGATTAAATGACACATGAGTTTTTATATTTTTGTAAGCTCAAAAAATTGAAAACATTGTCTATGTCTATGCATAATATTTTTCATAATAATATTTTATTTCTAAAAAAAATTAAGGGTGATGCACCAATGAATTCCAAATAGTGATCTTATGAACTGTTTGATCATTTTTTTATTTTTTTTATTTTTTTATGGACCCAACGGTCTGATTCTAGTATAAATTACATAACGGCCAAGTATAAATGCACGTGTGTTATATGTTGAGAGCAAATATGGATTTTCTCATAATGTTGAAATTACTAAATGTAACACTTCAAAAAAACTTCTTAATATACTTTTTCCAAACATTACAATCAATGTAACACACTAAATAGAACTTGTGAGTGAAGAACTTTATTTAAGTAATCATTAATTGTAATCCAACAATAATTATTGATTTTTTAATTAAAATATGAGTTCAAAAAATTATTATGTTTCGGATATTTTTTGGCTTTTTAAGAAAGAAATTTACAAAAAGTATGGAGAAAATAGAATCTTTGACTTTTTCGTATAATTTGTTTTGGATATTTCTTGCACTCAAGTTGACCCTAAATCTTGGTAGCATAAAAATCTCCCAAAATTTAATAAGAAGAATAGTTAATGCTATTTTGACCTTTTGATGCTAAGTTCATAAGCTTCACAATATGTCATTAAAAGCCCTATACAAATATTGACACGAAACCATTTATAAGGGCACCCATAACTTTCTAATGTGTCTTACTATTTTCATATGGCAGCAATATTGATGATAATCTATTTTCAAAATTCATTAAGGCTCTAGAACTTGACTTTCATGACAATGCCAATGAACTAAAAATCAGTTTTTTGTATTTTTAATCCCAAAACTAAAAGATATCTACAAGGTCTAGTACAATTAGAGATTTTGTCACAAAAAAAATTATAAATTGCCTTAAAGATAGTTTTGATAACATAGAACATGAGACTCTCAATCAAAACCATTCGCTAGGTGTAAGATTCTTAAAAAATAAAAAATAAAAGTCTAATAATGTACCATGTGTTCCATATATTAATTAAACAACTTGCAACAACTAATAATGAGTGGTCATTCTAACAATTAGATTAGCTAGTACATAATTAACTAAAGCTTAATTGAGGATATAACTTCGTGATGTAGGACTAGTGTGGTGAACACTCTCCTATTAGTAGTGAGCCCAAAACTAACAGGTTGGAAGACTATTGCGGCTGATTTTTAATTGGTTTTCATGGTTGAAATTGTTAGCAAAAAAAATAAGGTGTTAAAGATTTGTATGGGGTAACAAAGAGGTTAGATTTAGAGAATCCAAACACAATGTCTTAGGGGCTATTTGGGGGTTGTTCTGGACAGCATGAACAATAACTTAGCTACTTTAGTTTTTTTTTGCAATCTAGAGTATTGTGTTAAGCAAATATGATACTTGACGCTTCGATAGGGGCTAATATAGATCTAGATTAGTAGTTTTAAAGACTAAAAGTGTAAAAATAAATAAATAAAAGAAAAGAAAAGAAGAAGAAAAAGTCTAGAAAATTGACATGTAGCTTGCATATGTTATCTCAAATTTTGATTCTATTCAAATTTTAATTTGATTATTATGTGTTAGTTAATTCAGGATTTTTTTAGATAGGAGTTAATATTTTTTTTAAATTAATTTTTATATATTTTTTTAATATCCTTCTCAATTAATATTATGGTAAATCTATTTAATTTTTTTTCTAACATAATTGCTCTCAATAATAATTTTAACAATTTTAATTTGAAAATTTCATTTCAACAAGAGCAACTGTTAAAGTGTTGTCAAAATACATTTTATGCGATGCAAATATTATAAGCTTCTATTTGAAGTCATATGTCCCAACTTATTTTGAATGCTTTTGCATAAGATTGTGCCCTAATAGCTATAGGCACTTTAATTGGATGTTGTATCTCTGTTGGGCTTGTGTTTAGTATTGACACCTTTGTTGTTGGGTATTTTTTATCGGAATTTGGTTTGAGTGATTTGGAGAGAAAAGAAATGAAATGGGGAGAAATAGATTTCAATCACTTGTTTGAATTACCAAATAGGAGAGAAATGAGAATAAATACCTATTTTGAATCTCTAGAGTGGAGAGATTGGGAGAGAAATGAAACTAATTAAATACTATTTTGTTTATAATACTAAAACTAGCCTTTTAGATATAGAATAAACTAGATTTTATTTTTTGACCGAATTATTTGGATGTGGCTTGCCATTTGGATGAAATGTAATAATAACGATAATTTATCATAAGGATAATTTTATAATTTACTAATATAATTTTTTTTTGATTCACATTACAAAATTTACTAAAAAGAGTAATGTTATTAACTTATTTACATTACAAACTTTATCTGAATAATTCACATTACAAAATTATTTACTAATAATTTATCTGAATAATTCACATTACAAAATTTAAATTATTTTTGTAGATTCTTAAAAAGAGTAATGTTATGGTGATCATGATTTACAAAAATGGAACTAATTATTATCTTACAGATAAATAGATACATATTGTTATAGATATAATAGATAGTTTTTTTAATTAAATATGAATCAAATTCCATGTTTAACTTAGCATTTGAAGATTTTTTATTTTTTTTTTAATTCCAAATTTGATATGGCTTAGATACTATTACAATTTTAGTTATTATCAGTTCAATGTTTCAAATTTGAATTCACAGAACCCTAGCCCTAACCCAATTTTGTTTTCCCATGACATACAAAAAATGAATAGATAACATAAAATTGAACAGGTTAACACTCGATAAGTTTAATCAAACGCAATGCTAGAGACTCTTACAAACCTGAATCCATTTGTACCAAACAAACACAGAGATTGGTGCAACTCATAATTAATCAAAATTTGAATTCACAAACACAAATGCATATAATAACTAAAATTTTAATTCACAAAACCTTAGCCCTAACAAAATTGGGTTAGGGCTAGGGTTCTGTGAATTAAAAACCACAATTTCAATTCACAAAACCCTATTCTACCCACATTGGTATCAATTTGAATTCACAAAACTATTATATCTTTCAAACTATATTTAAACTATTCTATCTTCCAAACTTCCTCAATTTGAATTCACAAAACCCCACATTGTTATCTACCCGCATTCACATTTTCACAAACAAAATCAACATAAATAAAATTCAGAGAGAGAGAGAGAACTGGTTCGGGTTTTGGAGGAGAAAAAAGAGAAGTGTTTAAAAGCGTGGTTGCAAATGGGGGGTGAGTCATTTTATAATGGCTTTCTGTTAAAAGCGTGATTACAAATCACGCTTTCTATTAAAAGCGTATTTTCAAATCGCGTTATTATGTAAGCCTAAAAATGCTAATAGCAATAATATTCTTAATTAAAGTGTGTTTTCTAACCATACTTTTATAATTTTGTTTATTTTATCCGCTTAAACCAGAAACATACTTAAAAACATATTTTGTAAACACGCTTCAACTTGCCAAATTAAACTTAGTTTGAAAAATAAATTAGGAAAATGTTTGGTAGTTCAAAATTTTGTGGCTCAAATGGCTTAAATCTGTCACAACGACGTCATTTTACACTCAAAATCTGTCAAAATGATATTGTTTTGAATGATTTGAACCATTTGAGTTACAAAATTTTGAGTTACCTAACCTGGTTGAATAAATTATTACCTATGCTTAGTTTGGGCAAAGCCTCCCTATATGTATGTGTGGGCGCAGAGGATTCCAAATATTTTTTTCGACCATCATTGAACAGGATTAGACGGCGATCCATCCGTCTTGCAGTGACCAGTTCCTTCCTCTTCTTTCCTGTCTCCACGTTGTCGGATTCCCCTCTCTCTCTCTCTCTCTCTCTCTGCAATGCATGATGATGGTTGTTGCACATATATATATATATATATTCATGCATGGACGCATACATGTATACACACATGGATTTTCCTAATCCTTACGTTATCCTCTCTCATCGTTCCCACAAATTTCTCTCCTCAGATATATTCAAAACCAACAATAATGGTAATAACAACAATCCAATCCTGTACGGCGATGGGTTTAATCAAAGGCGACCTCATTATCATATCCAACATGGAATTCTCCTTTTTATCCCCTATATTTATCTCCTTTTAAAACTGTTTCTCTTCTACACAATAACAGAGCGGAGGGTATCAAGGCATTTGGAAATTTTCTATCCATCAATGGATTTGACTGAATGAATGAAAAATTTGTATTTTACCATTCACACGGGGAGAGGAAAGAAAGTTGGCATCAAGATCAAATTTTGGGTTGACGACTGCTGGTTCGTCTCTTGCATTCTCCCGAAATTTTTAATTTACCTGGATTTCTGACTAGTTTATAAGATTCATCTCGTCCATTTTTATTTCCTTTTTCAAATTAGCGTTTGTTGTTTCTTCAAATTTCGACATATGCTTCTTCTTATTTTTCTTCTATTTTCTGGGCGGTTTATTTATGTTGTTTATCCACTCTACATAGGTTAGTACAATAAGGTTCTGTTTCATTAGCATGATTAATAGTGAGGGATTAACAATTCACGGTATTAGTGTAGGATTGATTATCGAGTTGGATTAGTGGTATAATCCCCATTTTTTCATGTTTGTTTTGCAATGAATATGAAAATATATAAATCCCAATCATATGTTTGTTTTTTAGATTATTAATTGTAGGCTTAAAAAATCCACTAATTTTGTCGGATAAAATATCAATTGGAGTCTAGTTCAGATAACAAAAATTGCAACCAAACACTGAAATGTGAGTCTAACAAATTAAGAATTTCAATCATATGCTATAATTTGCCAAATCAAACATACCATAAAATAACGTAAAAAATATTCTTTGAATTTCTATGAGAATTAGAGGTTGGAGCTTTATTTTACAAGTGATTTGCCCATAGGTGCTTGGTAAACATGATGTATTGTCTTAGACAGACACACCCATTATGATGTTGTCTATGACCACTGAAACTAAAACCTTGAGCTTGTGAATGATTAGGATTGACACTTTCACTGATTGTCAAAATTTTTCCTTCAATGTCATTAATTTATCTTTGTTGTGTCTATGTATTGACACATTTATATGCGTGACTCTTTCCAATGCAAGAAAACTAATGGGATTCCCATGTGAGGCGAATTCAAAATTGTTCGAATTGTGTAATTGCCAATTAAATGACCCAAGGCAATTTGAATATAAATTTAATTGGAGACGATCATAAGTATAAAGTTCATATTCTTCCATCATGGATACACAATTTGTTGGACAATACACAACAACAATTGCCACAAAATATACACATTCCAAAATCTTTTGAATATCCTTTTCAGAATCTCTTCTAGATGGTATTGCTGTTGCACCATTCATGTTATCAAAGCCCAATAGCCAAGACTCATACGAGGTCAGTGTTCCACGATGTCTGCAAGTTATTTCTTTATTTTTTAAAATAAACTTGTTCATTTAGCAGTAGAAAAAAGTGGATATGTGAATCACATTGGGAACTGATCATAAATTTCAATCACAATTATCTTCTTCTCTCTTATATATATATATATATATATTTATCAAAAAAAATATATATAACTTTTGTTTTATAGTTTAGGAATTCAAAGAATGTTGGGTTGATAATGAAATTTATTAAGTTTGATGTTTCTATTTTGCTGTAGTATTATGGAAGTTTTAAGGCACCCCCTTCATTATCCAGAGAGGAATGGTGCTCTGCCTCCTTCCCCTTTCTCTCTCTCATTTGTGTTTCTGTTTCATTCATGCACTTACATTCACCATTTTCCTATCTTCTGAAGTCATCTTATTTTATTTATTCATGCCCATTAAGAATGCAGATCCTCATGAACTAATACATGAAACTGTCTCCAGAAGACTTTCTTATTATGCAACTCCTAGAGAAGGCATCCAATACTTCAATAAAACCCAACTCTCAATCCTCACTAGAGAAACCTCTTGTGATGTGCATTTGTTGTGGGACCTATCAGTTGATAGGCTGGTCATAGGTAGATTTTGCTTCTTCCTCTTATTCTTCAAGTGTACTTAAAAGTGCCAATGAGCAACTTAGGTCCCATTCTTCCACATCTTAGGTCCTGTTCTTTCATGGCAATTGATGATGTGGATTTTGAATTTTTTTCTTCCTTACCTTTTTGTTTGGACTAGAGTGATTGCATCCTAACATTCAGAGACTTTGAAAGTTACAAGTTCTCTAATTTGAGCCTCCTTTTAATTGAATATTCTTGCAACATTTACTGCTGGCAATGGCACTAATCATCAGTCTTCTCCATTGCCGAGACAAAATACCCTACATTCAACATTTATCTGGCTCCATTTCACCTCCACTTGTCTCCAGTTACACCTGCACTTTGGCACAACCATCTTTATGATTTCCATCACGAACACCGTCAATAAATAAATATTTATTTATCAAACTTTAAATCGGCAGTTGTTATATTTTCAGATCAGCTGAGGATGTTGAAGGCTTTCTATTGCTGTGAATTAGTGTTTTTTTCTTTTCTTTTTTCGTTTGCTTTAAAAAACAATTACTGTGTCAGGTGACAAAATAGAACCAGGTTGATTCAAAGTCCAAGCCATTTAATCACCAAGATTAACCAATGGGTCATATTTTAGGTGACAGTAATTACATTTTCCTCCATATAATTTTCTAGTGTAGTTACTACTATGATTGATGATTGACAAGGTAAAATGAAACAAAAAATTTGTATGTTTTATCTTTTAATGCAGATGAGCTGCATGTCATCATCAGGACCAAGTGAACCTACAGAAATGTATCTGGTTGCCGATAGTACTACCTGTTCAACCTCTAACTAACCGGATGATACAAAAAAAGTGTAACAAATAACACAAAATAGTGTCAATTTACCTCATAATTTTCCATCCCGACCTAAATAGATGGATCCAATTTCCAAAACTTATGCAAATTCAGATAATAATCCATGCCCATTGCCAAGTCCAAATATGCACATTGCAGATTATCCAATTTCCAAAGCGGACCTAGTTGCAAAGGCTAGCAATTCTGCTACTAATCCATGGCCATTGCCAAGTCCAAAGACATTTGCAAATTCTGAACTCGTAAAAGCAACATCAACAGGGATAGCAGCAGCAACACCAGAAAATGTGAAGGCAAGTGATGCTAAGGGTAGTCAACTAGTTGCCAATTTCGGCCGAGGGAGCAGCAATGGCGCCCGTAGTGACAGCTTAGAGAGCTCCAGTGCAACCCTTAAGCCCCATACCGGTGGTGATGGTCGATGGGATGCCATTAACTTGGCTTCTTCCAAAGATTCCCCTCTTGGTCTTAGCCACTTTAGGCTCTTGAAGCGGCTCGGATATGGAGACATAGGAAGTGTCTATCTTGTTGAGCTCAGAGGAACCAACACCTACTTTGCCATGAAAGTCATGGACAAGGGGTCTCTTGCAAGCAGAAATAAGCTTCTTCGAGCTCAAACAGAAAGGGAGATCCTTGGTCTTCTTGACCACCCATTTCTACCTACTTTATATTCATATTTTGAGACTGAAAAGTTTTATTGCTTGGTCATGGAATTCTGCAGTGGAGGTAATCTTTACACTCTTCGTCAAAAGCAACCAAACAAGTATTTCACTGAGGAAGCTGCTAGGTTAGTACATATCCGCCTTATTTGGTCTATATTTGCATTTCTTCATTATATGCCATTCAAAATTTCCCTTTATCTATTTATTATAGCAATGTCTGATTTTACCTGTGTATTGATTAATGATGTAACGTATGCCATTTGTACTTTTAGCATAGCATTGCCATAAGTCTAGCCTACATAAAAAGATAAGGGGCTGAGATAGATTGGAAGCATTTTTAAACCTATCAAACACTCTTGACTTTTCTATTTATGATTCTAAGTTATGTCAAGGGTTTTATATTTCATTTTTTACACATGCAGCTCTTGGTCGCTATTGATTATTATAAATATGCTTAGAAGGGTCTTTAAGGTTTACAGTTATTTACTTAACAAGAGTCATGTACTATTGATCTTATTTGTAAATAATACAGTCTTCAAGAAATATAAATTATAGTCAGTTCTTGAACTTGACTAAAGGTCTAATTTTTGTTTTAAACAAGTAGTATGTTACAGTTCATTTGGAAAACCATGTAAGAAAAGAAGAAGAAAAAAATTGTGGCTTTTCACCTATGTGAGAAAAGAAAAGGAATGATTAATTTACTCTCTGTTTTTTTTTTTTTTTTTTTTGATAAGAAACAAAATGGTGTGATTTCTCACATATCTTGTTTGTCCATAGGCTGATCAAATGAGCCAAACCCAGAGTGTGAATTTGTAAGAGCCGATAAATGCAGAGCAAATTTATGCAACAAGCACTTATGGACTAAACAGTGATTTCTCATATTTATGCAACATGTGAGAAACCCCAATAATAGCAAAAAATGAAGTACAATATAAATAGGAAAACAACCAAAACCCTAAAAGCCTAATTACATATAATAGGAGTAAACTGCCCTTAACGAAACCCTAAAGCCTAATTACAGATAATAGGACTAAACTACCCTTCATGCAACCCTAAAAGCCTAATTACAAATAACAAACTAAATTACCCTTAATGACTAAACTAAATAACAAGAACATGAACATGACATATTTCACATTAGCAAGTGTTACAGGGTCAATTTTCTAATTAAAATTTTCAGCTTACAATGGCATTAAGTTATAGCACTTAGTCTCAACCAATTATCAATACACAGTCACACAATGAGTTAGAACAAGTAAGAGAGAAGGCAACACAAAATTACAAGAAATTCCCAACCTTTATTATTGCACTAACAATACAAAGGAATACCTATGGAAACTCTTACAATTACTTGATACCATTTCGAGTTCCATGGCCATGCCTTATTATGCTTACAATCAGTTACAACAATACAACCAACAATACAAGGAAAGCATGCCAAGTGGCATGGCAGTTTACATCCCCAACTGCCTAGGGACTTCGGAACAAATCTAGAGCTAACTGCTAATAACTGCTCCTTCTTCCAGCCTTAGTTCTTGATTTCCAGGCTTGCCTTGTCTTTGCCACAACAAAAGTAACTGCTGTCAACCGACATGCATAACTGCTGATAACCGCCATGTTGTCTGCCTCATCAAGCCAGCCACGAATTTGGTTGTCTTGGCCACCAGACCAAGTCTTGCCTACGAAACCAATTCTGGCCCACTGATTGTCTTCAACCCTCAAGTATGTTGCAACCCACATTTAGGTCATATTAATGCCTTGCATCTGTGCAAATGCTGTCCATACTTTGGCCAAGGGTTGTGTGCTACTGCCCCAGTACTTTGTCATCTTTTCACCTTGCTGTCTTGGCATGCCACCATTATGCCATGGCCTTGGTTGGACATGGGCGCAAGATGTTGCCAATGCCAGCCATGCAGCCTTCAAGTAGAAGGTGCTAACAAACCACTCCCACCAGAAGAAGCCAATGTCCTCATTGGTAGGGTCTTTAAGTACTCTTCGACTTGTTTTTTGAATTGCCATAATGTTACATCTTTTTCCCAACTTGCATAAGATTCTGGGGAACCCTTCTATTTCACTAAGTAATGGGTCCTTCGATTCTTTTTGCTTTGGCCCTCGGTCTTGAGATCAAGAATCCATTCTACCTCCCCGTCAAACTGCTTTCTGATCACTGGAGGTGCCCTCCGAGCCTGCTTCCTTGTCAAGTTAGTTTGATCCTCATGAAAAGGTTTTAAAAAGCTAACATGGAAAGTTGGGTGGATTTTTAACCGATCAGGCAATACTAGCCTGTATGCAACATTCCCCACACGTTTTAAGATTTTAAAGGGGCCATCGTATTTTGGAATTAAGCTATGGTGCACGGCCTTACTGCTTATCTTTTTCCAAATTTGAGGAGTAAGCTTTAGTAGCACTTTGTCTCTCACTTTGAACTCTAAGGGTCTCCTCCCTTTGTCAGCATACTTCTTCATTCTTTTGCTTGCTTTAGCCAAACTATCTTGTGTTTCCTCCAGCAACTTTTGTTTAACCCTTGCAAAGCAGTATGCTGCTGGACATCTACCACCAGAACCTGTTTTAGCCACTTCGTGAGGAGTTAGTGGTTGCTTCCCCGTGGCCAATTCGAACGGACTCATCCCAGTTGCAGATGATCTATGCAAATTGTAACAAAATTGTGCACTATCCAACAATTCGACCCAATTCTTTTGACTTGCGGTCACATAATGTCGGAGATACTCCTCAAACAAGCCATTCATCCTCTCGGTCTGGCCATCCGTTTAAGGGCGATTTGTTATGGAGAACTTTATTTCTGAACCTAACAAATTAAAGAGCACAGTCCAAAACCTTCCCATAAACCAGTTATCCTTGTCACTAATCATGTCCTTAGGCAAGTCAAAGTATTTTACAACATACTTATAAAATATATCAACAGTAATGTCAGCAGGACAAGCATGAGGAGTAGGGATAAAGATAGCATACTTAGAAAAACGGTCAACAATTACCATGATGGAACGCATCCCATTAATTTTAGGAAACCCAGAGATGAAGTCCATGGACACTAAAACCCAAGGCTTCTCAGGGACCGACAATGGTTGCAACAACCTAGCCGCCTTCTTTCTTTCGGTCTTGTCCAATTGGCACACCATGCAAGTTTTGACATAGGCCTCCATGTCCTCTTCCATTTTCGGCCAAACATATGAATGAGACAAGAGTGCCATAATGCTTTGTTATCCCGGATGACCAGCCCACTGCGGACCATGCGTTTCTCTAAAAAGTTTCATTCTTAGTCCCCCAACACTAGGGACATATAGCCTATCTCCTTTGCCATGGAAATGACCATCTTCAAGCCAATACCTACGAACAATACCATCATTCACTTGCTGCACCAACCGTTGATACTCTGAGTCAATTGCAGCACTATCCTTGATCCTTTCTAGCAATTGTGATTCAATGTTAGAAATAGCAGCCACATATTCAACTATCTCCTTTTGGCTTAAGGCATCAACAACTAGATTTTGTCGTCCAGGCTTGTGTCACCACTCAAAATCATATTCTTCAAGGAATTCCTGCCAACGGGCCTGCCTTGGAGACAACTTTTTTTGAGTTTTGAAGAATGTATTGGCCACATTATCAATAAGAATAAAAAATCTAGTCCCCAATAGATGAACCCTCAAGGTGAGAAGGCAATGCACCACCGCCGTCATCTCTTTCTCATGGGCCGAATAATTCTTCTCAGCAACATTCAATTTTCTGCTTTCAAAGGCCACAGGGTATCGCTCTTGCACCAATACCCCTCCAAGCGCTTTGTTTGAGGCATCCGTGTGTACTTCGAAAGGCAACTGAAAATTAGGCAGTCGCAAGATTGGTTCACTTGCCACCGCACCTTTCAATTTGTCAAAGGGCTCTTGACAATTAACGGACCAATGCCATTTGTGATCTTTCTTCAGCAAATCAGTGAGGGGAGCAGCCTTCTTTGAATATTCCTCGATAAACTTCCTGTAGTAATTTGCCAAAACCAAGAAGGATCGCAACTCCGCAACATTGGTCGGTAGAGACCATTCCATAATAGCCTGCACCTCTTTCCATCCATTTTGACATAGCCTTGGCAAATAATATGCTCACGAAACTTAATTTCTTTTTGAGCAAACTCGCATGCATAGAGTTTATTTTCCCGCAGTCGGAAGAATACCTTTCTGAGATGGGTCAAATGGTCTTGTAATGTTTCACTATAAATTACAATATCATCCAAGTAAACAACTACAAACCAATCAACATAATAATTAAAGACATCATTCATTAAATTACAAAATGTCGCAGGAGCATTAGCAAGGCCAAAAGGCATAACTAAAAATTCAAAAGAACCATATCTTGTTACACAAGTGGTCTTTGCCTCGTCTTCTTCTGCAACCCAAACTTGCCAATACCCCCAACGAAGGTCCAACTTTGTGAAGAAAGTGGCCTTGCTAAAACAGTCAAACAGATCAGCCACCAAAGGGACAGGGTACTTATTTTTTATAGTCACCTTATTTAGGGCCCGATAATCCACGCACATCTGCAACGATCCATCTTGCTTCTTTTGGAACAACACTGGGGCACCATATGAGGCTTTGGAGGGCTCGACTAAACCAGCTTCCAATAACTCCGACAATTGCTTCCTTAGTTTAGTAAGTTCCAACGGCGACATTCGGTAGAGTGCCTTGGCAGGAGCCTTTGCACTAGGCATCAATTCGATTTTTGTGATCAGTGGCACGCCGAGGAGGAAGAGATTTAGACAACTCTGGAGGCATTACATCAATGAACTCCGCCAAGGCATCAACCATTGCATTCGGCACTTCCATAGTAAGGTCAGGCTTCATTTCAATCAATGTTGCAAGGAATGTTTCCTCGCCCTTCTTGCGCCCATTAAGCACTTGCACGGCCGACAACATCTTATCCTTCTTCTCTGCCCCATTTTTCTTGTCTGGTCGAGTAGAGCCCGACACAAAACAAGGTTGATTCTCATCTGAAATCAACAACCCACAATGCCACTTTTGCAACCACAAATAAATCATTCCCAGGAATAACATCAAAGTCGTCTAATGGGACTGCCATGAAGTTAAGTTGTCCAGTCCATTCACCCGCTGTTACCTTCACATCCCGAGCCATCCCATGCCCCGGTTGGGCTGCAGAATTCACGGTCTTAATTCTGCTTGGATTCTGGACAATTTTCAATTTTAGGACTGCACTACCCTTTCAGACACAAAGTTCTGGGTGGCACTAGTGTCCACCATTGCAAACACTTCAATACCATCCATCACCACCTATTTGTACATCAAACTGGATAAGGGGGTCCTCTCAGCACGAATTACATTCAGCAATTGCAAGGAGTTGACTCGAGTAGGGCCATTTGAGTCAGATCCTGCCTTATCATCTTTAGCAACCATAGCGTTAAGTTTCTCACGCTTGGGACAATCCTTCACTCTATAGGGTCCATCACAGATGAAACATCCTTTGTTAGATTTCCCACCATTGTTCTGAGAAAAGTTCCCTTTCTGCTTGTACTTGGAACCATCTTTACCCTTATTGAAACCACACTTCTTCTCTCCAGTCTTCTCTTTTCCTTTTTTCTTAGATTTGCTGGTTTCACACGTGGGTTCCTTGCTTAACTTGTAGTCAAGCAACCCATCTGCCTCAGCCATGGCAGAAGGCAAATCTTTGACATCGAGTCTCCGAAGTTCCAACTGGGCCCAATTCCGTAACCCAAACATAAAGTTGAAAAGTTTATCTTCCTCAGACATGTTCTTGATGTCAAGCATCAACAAACTGAATTCTTTCACATATTCCCTCACTGATCTGGAATTCTTCAACTGTTTCAAGGCATCTCTTGCAACCCAAGATGTGTTGCAAGGAAGAAATTGTTCTTTCATTTCCTTCTTAAGAGTCTCCCATGTTAAGATCTCTGGTCGAGCATCATCCCCAACACATGTACGCCACCAAAGTTTAGCATCACCAGTAAGGTACATGCTTGTGATGGTAACTTTCTCCCCTTCTTGCATATGAGCAGCCTTAAAGTACTGCTCCATGTCCCACAAAAAATTCTCAAATTCCTTGGCACTCTGATTACCACCGAAAGCCTTAGGGTCAGGAACTTTGATTTTCAAAGGAGTCTCACCATAATTCGTATGCCCACAGACTGCCTTTTTAACAAGGGTGATTTCGTCAGTAACTTCCTGCAATTTGTCCTTCCAAGCATCCGAAATGGCAAGTATATCAGTTATCACATCCTTGAACCGATCTGCTGTCGAGGTCTCAAGGGCAAGAAACCCAGAAGCCACAGCATCCAATCGATCCGTTAGCGAGCGATTCTCATCAGTAGGTTCACCCATGAGATTCTCCTACCGTGTCACTCTTTTCTTCAAGGCATCTATGCCAGACACCATTAGGTCATAACCTGGCTTTGATACTAATTGGTACATGGTCAATTTTCGAATTAAAATTTTTAGCCTGCAATGGCACTAAGTTACAGCACTTAGTCTCAGCCAATTATCAATACACACTCACATAATGAGTTAGAACAAGTAAGAGAGAAGGCAACATGAAATTACAGGAAATTCCCAACCTTTATTATTGCATCAATAATACAAAGGAATACCTATGGAAACTCTTACAATTACTTGATACCATTTCGAGTTCCATGGCCATGCCTTATATAGGCTTACAATAAGTTACAACAATACAACCAACAATACAAGGAAAGCATGCCAAGTGGCATGGCAGTTTACACCCCCAACTGCCTAGGGACTTAGGAACAAATCTAGAGCTAACTGCTAATAACTGCTTCTGTCTTCCAGCCGTGGTTTCTAATTTCCAGGCTTGCCTTGTCTTTGCCCCAACAGAAGTAATTGTTGCCAACAGACATGCATAACTGCTGATAACCGCCATGTTTTCTGTCTCATCAAGCCAGCCACGAATTTGGTTGTCTTGGCCACCAGACCAAGTCTTGGCCACCAGACCAAGTCTTGGCCGCTGATTGTCTTTAACCCTTAAAGTATGCTGTAGCCCACATTCAGGCTATATGAATGCCTTGCATCTGTGCAAATGCTACCCGTACTTTGGTCAAGGGTTGTGTGCTGCTGCCCCAACACTTTGTCATCTTTTCACCTTGTTGTCTTGGCATGCCACCATCATGCCGTGGCCTTGGTTGGACATGGGTGCAAGGTGTTGCCAATGCCAACCATCCAGCCTTCAAGTGGAAGGTGCTAATAGCAAGCCACTTCCTTTTTTTATATGGTTGTAAGCCATCGAGGTCAGGAGGTCATTGATTGAGATAAAATTCAGAGAATGTTTATGAATTTGAAATTCTTCTGGTTTTTCCTTGTGTTTTCATTCATTTCATATGCTTCCCTACGTCATAACTCCACTGGCTCATCACCACCACCTGTTGCAATTACACCAACAAACCTCCCTTAACCGGTTCATTGCCCAACCTCTATGGCCACCATCTCCATTGACAACACCATGGTCAATCTAAATCCAAGCCCATTACTAATTGCTAACTACCCTCTTCTAGTTTCAACAATATAGTATAGATCTAATTTCTCTTCATTTTCACCATCTCGATTATAGCATAACAATACAATGATACAACCATCTATACAAAACAAAAATCCAAATAAATTCAAAGAAAAATAAATCATTGGTGCCATTATTGCTCCCTCCTTCCCTCTCCCCCATTTCAATAGTGCCACCTTTCCCTACCCTTATATCTATCTATGAACCCAAGCAGCCCACCAAATCATCACCCATTCACTACCTTTCATCACCACCGATGATACCATTGATGACTTCGTTTCTCTATTTGCCAACCTAATCGTCCAACTCGGAATATGGGTTGTTGTTCATTGCTTTGTACTTAAAGCAATGTTCTGCGTTCTAATAATTCATGAAAGAGATTATCATATTCCCTGCAATACCCATCACTGATTGTCAATCAGTTCCACTGTAGTTTAGATCGCAATAATAGGGAGACAGAGGGAGGTTTGGGTATTGTGGACCTTCGTAAGTTTTGGTCACTGGGCCCTTGATCCAATGCAGGTTTCGAGGTGCCCCCTAGTATTTTGGTAATTTTATTGTTGTTTCCATGTTGCTTTGATTTCTATACTTACATAGATGAGAGGCACCTCTTGTATTGTGTGAGAGAGTTGTAATTGTTGTCAGATCATAGTGAAACTGCAATGACCTCTGACGTAGGTGAACCATGTAAACCCTTGTATTCTTGCGTGTATGTGTGATTGTTTTGATACATATTATCTTTGTTGTTTGCTATTTTGTGTCTCATTGATCCTGGCTAGGGGTTGTCAAAATCCTAACAAGTAGTGGCGGAGGGCTATGACAGTGTTAGGATGGCGGTGGGGGATTTGATCAATTGCATTACAAAGTGCAAGGATTGGGTGTGGCAACTGGGGGGAAAAGACTACCTATTTGGGGGATCTGTAATTTTTCAAACACGAGGGGAATTCTGTATTTGTTTGATAACTCAAGATTATATTTGTAATTTCCCCTACTTATATTGCTAAAAAACCCTATATTCTATTGAAGATGATGAAGTATATACTGACGGTCTTTACTATTCTCAGTATCTGAGTTGGGGTTGGATGCAAGAGAACCTGAAAGTTGTTATTCCTAATGTGAAAATTAATGTATATTATTGATTGATAGATACAAGATTGTTGTGTATATTGATAGTTATTGTTGTGTTTACAATGATCAAATATATAGAAGAGAAGAAGGTAGTAGGTGAAGTGGTAGGGGATGAAGTGGAGGTGGTAGTGGTAGGTTAGGTGAGGAGGTGAGTGTGTGTGGTAGGTAGTAATGGGTTAGGTTTAGTGGGTTTAACACCTAAGTTGTATGCATTGGCATTTGCTTCAAGTTGTTTAGATACAGAACATACCAAGAATGTTGCCCTGGATATTTCCATTTTTTCTTTCCTTGGTGTCATGCAGCATGGATTGATCTTTGTCAAGTGCAGGTGATTCATGGATTGATTGAGAGAAATTTCAAATACCAAGTGTTTATATTGGAAAGCTATTATTACGTTTAGTAGAGAATGGTTCATGTAATTGAAACTTCATGTATTTGTGTCATTGAAACTCTTCCCCTTATGTATGATCTTTGAGGTTTATGCCTGTCATCCGGATATGTTTCTCATGACATTACTATTCAAAAAATAGTTTTGATATGATATTTTTTTTGTTCATTTTAATTTTTTATCAGGTTCTACACTTCAGAGGTGTTGTTGGCACTTGAGTATCTGCACATGCTGGGCATTGTGTACAGAGATCTGAAGCCAGAAAACGTACTAGTAAGAGATGAGGGTCATATCATGCTCTCTGACTTTGATTTATCACTTCGTTGCTCTGTTAGCCCAACTCTTGTCAAGTCTTCGTCTGTCCATGTAGGCAATGGGAGTGGTGGCATTTTGGATGATGAAGACGCAGTCCGTGGTTGTATCCAACCATCAAATTTTTTCCCCCGCATCCTTGCTACAAAGAAGAATCGCAAATCTAAATCGGATTTTGGACTCTTTGTTGGAGGCTCTCTCCCAGAACTAATGGCAGAGCCTACCAATGTGCGCTCAATGTCATTTGTTGGAACCCATGAATATCTAGCCCCAGAGATCATACGTGGAGAGGGTCATGGTAGTGCAGTGGACTGGTGGACATTTGGCATTTTCTTATATGAGTTATTGCATGGGACAACCCCCTTCAAAGGTTCTGGCAATCGTGCCACACTTTTTAATGTTGTAGGCCAGCCATTAAGGTTCCCTGAAACTCCACAAGTGAGTTTTATGGCACGTGATCTGATACGGGGACTCTTGGTGAAGGAACCGCATAAACGGATTGCATACAAAAGGGGTGCAACAGAAATAAAACAGCACCCATTCTTTGAGGGTGTGAACTGGGCTTTGGTGAGGAGCGCCATGCCTCCCTACATACCTGAGCCTGTGGACTTCGGGCATTTTGCTAGTAAAGAGACGGCTCATGCAGACAAGAAAATGGCAGAAATTGGAGCCGATACAAACAAGAATAGTCCTAATGATTCTTTATATGTTGATTTTGAGTACTTTTAGCAATTTGGACTACTTGAATGGTAATGCACATTGTCACAGTGTGTTATACAAAAAGCAAAATGACAATTCAATATGATTGCTGAGAATACTTTGAAGAAAGAATTTGTGAAGGCAATAAATTGTCAGTTTGGTTGCTAGCTGCAAAGAGGATAATATATTGTATTTGCAGGGCGGATTTTTTCTCTTCTTTTTTTAGTATATTTTGTTATATGATTTTATGAAGCACATGCGCACCATTTGTTACAATGTTCTAGTTGAGTTTTACTTTTCACGCTTCCAAGAGCAGAGAACACCCATAATTATTTTTGTGGAATGGCTGAACTCTATCATCACTCGGAGTAAATATTTCTTCGGTTCGTAATGGCTAGCTGTAATGTTTGCTATGTTGGTTCCTTCTTTTCTTTTTTTTTGGCTCGGCAATGCTATGTTGTTGTCTTTAACGTTTCTATCCGTCTTTAGGTTGATGATAAAATGTATGAGTTCTAACATGGTCTTCTATGATTGCTGTCCAAAAATTTGTGCTGCTGGTTGATATGATACTTTAAATTTTGTAAAAATACGATTTAAAAGGAACCAAAGTGGCTTCACTTCAAATTTTGTGATGCCCTCTCTCTCTCTCTCTCTCTCTCTCTCTCTCTTAAACAAAATTTGAAGAAAAGATCAAAGCATTTTTGAAGAAAAGTTGATATGTGGAGGGAGAGCAACAAAGACAGTGGGGGAGTTTTACTTTATATTCTTTGCTAAATTGTTTTAAAAAGTGTTCTTGAAAAATAATTTTGAAAGCAACATATTTTAGAATTTTTTTTAATTATTTTTAAAATCTATCAATAAGTTTGACACGTGAAAAAAAAAATACTAATTAATTTTCATTTTTATTTTCCTAAAAAATATATAAAAAAGATATATAAATAGAATTTTATATTATAATTTTTATTTTTTTATTCATATAATTAACAAATTATTGATTAAAAGGGGATTAAATGTTATATAAATTAAAATTTTAGGAGAAGTCAATATAATTATGTTATAGAATTTATTATATATATTTTAAAAATTAATGCAATTCATCCTAAATAAAAATACAAAATAAAGGGTAAGGCCTAATAAGGGGTATTAAGTAATAATAAAATAAAATAAAGAGAACTACATAAAAGAGTATTATAATCCCATTAAAAAAAATATGAGAAAAGTTAAGTGCATATTAATGGTACATGTTGGGAGCACTAAAAAGAGAGCACTAGGGAGAGCATTAATAATGTGACAGTTGGCTCTGCTCATTTTCTATGCCTTATTTATTTTATTGTCATTTCTAATACATTAATACTATTAATGATGTATTGTTTAGTGACCTAAATCATTGTTAATCACAGATGATATACAAAGGGTGGATCTTACTTATACGATTTTGTGCTTTGTCTGTGCACTATTTCTGTGTTAGTAAAAAACACAAAAGATATTATTTAATACAATACATTTAATGTATTTGATTACTTTCTATAATAATGAAAGTAATTAATATTATATAGCATAAAGGAGATTTTTTTTTAAAGTTTTTGGTATTAATATTTTATAGTATAAATGATATTCAATATTTTTATGATGTCTAAGGTCCCTCGACATCAATCTAAAGAAAATTCGATTCAGAGAATTTCTTTAGACAAATCACAGAGAAAATTTCAAATTTCTCTAGACATATCACAGAGAAAATCCTAAATTTTTCTGGACAACAATGAGGACTAGTGCTCTCTGCTTCCAAGAAAATCGGGTTGGTCCAGAGAAATTCCAAATTTCTCTGGACATATCACAGAGAAAATTTCAAATTTCTCTGGACAATAATGAGGATTAGTGCTCTGCTTCAGAAAAAATTGGGTTGGTCCAGATAAATTCTCTGGTTTGTACTGAATTTTCTCTAGATTGAACTCAATTTTCTCTGGGTTGGTCCAGAGAAATTCTCTGGTTTGGACTAAATTTTCTCTGGTTTGATCCAGAGAAATTCTTTGGTTTTGATTGAATTTTCTTTGGTTGGTCCAAAGAAATTCTTTGGTTTTGATTGAAATTTCTCCGGATTGATTTGAGGGACCTTAGACATTCTTTCATTGGCATTTCATCAAACATCTTCTTTGCTAAATCCATGTCCCCAGTTTCGTGCATATTTTGCATATTTTCAAAACAAGCTTATGCAAAATCAAAATCAAGTATTTTCTTTGATGAAATATGATCATTTGTTCAAATTTGGAAAAGAATATAACAAAATTATTTTGAGGCTAAGAATCCATGAATTGAAAGCAACATTCACAATCTGAAAAGATATGAATTGTGTGTAACTCATTTATAGTATATTTATTACATTGAAGACATGTGGAATTTAATTGAAGACACTTGATCATTTTTCCTTCTGAAACTCCAAAGACTATAATTGTCCTTAGTGTAGTCAGGGAGGCTTACAAAACTACTGCGTGGAAGCCACCCATATATCAATGGTGCATGTTTTGATGTCGTCATCTCGTGTCTGCATCTTTGGCCACCATGGCTCGTCTTTCTTGTCACCATGGCTCTTATTCCGAAGCTCTGTCCACTACGACTGGAGTTCAGAGTCACTTCGAACTGGCTCATCGGTGGAGTAGTAAAAAGTGCAATATTCACGAACCCTCGAAGCTTAGATCGCGGTGGTTCAACTTAGATCGCAACATTCTGGTGACGGTGTGGTAGAGACAAATGCGAAGGTGAAGATCGGAATGTGCAGAAAGAGAGAGGGTTTGGTTTGGATAGAATGAAGATCAGAGAGAAAGAGAGAGAGAGAGAGACAATTTTTTCTGATCTGATATATGAGTGTGGATTTAGGAATCTTAGATATCAAAAAATAATATTGTGAATCTATTCAATTACTAAAAATATGGGAGAGACCTTAGACTAATTTTTCTAAACTTATAATGATTCTTTTTAAAATTAGAATACTAATAAATTGTCATAATTATCCTATGTTTAAAATGATCTAAATAAATATATTTTTTAATTTTTTTATAAAAAATAATATATAAAAAATAAAAATATAACATAACCCAAAAAATAAAAAAAAAATGAAAAATACACTAGAAACTCTAAAGAATTGTTTGTGATAAACTAAAAAAGTTAAAAAGTTAAACAATTATTAAAAAGTTAAAAATCTTATACTATTCAAGGGTAGCTTGTAAGGGAAGTCACTAGAGTAAAATTATTATTTTACCTTTTAAATTCAACTATTCAAAAAGTCAAAAGGGTGAAGTAGTCATTTTGATTTTATTATAATATTTTATTACACATTTTTTTCTATAAAAAATCAAGAATTACCCCAAACATACATTTTTCTCTATTTTTTTAATCAAAAAAATCAAAATATATACTTATATAACACATTCCAAAATAATTTCTTTTCTTTGCTCTTACGCTATGTTTGGATTGAGTAATTTGGAGAGAAAAGAAAAGAAATGGAGAGATATGTATTTCTCTTATTTGTTTGGATAACCTAAGTAGAGAGAAATGGGAAGAAATTGAGAGAAATGGAGAGAAACTCATTTCTCTTATGAGCCTCATTTTCAATCTTCCCAAAAGTGGAGAGATTGGGAGAGAAAAGAAATTACTATTTTCATAATACTAATTTTGTCCCTATAAAAATAAAAGAAATAAAATGATTGAAAATATAAAAAGGTTATTTTAGTAATATAACATTAAATAATTTCTTTTATTTTCTCTTAATGAAATCTAACCAAACAAGAATGAGAGAAATTACAATAATTTATTTTCTTTTATTTATTCCTTATCCAAACAAAAAGGAGAGAAATCACAATTATTTTTTTTTTCTTTTCTCTTATAACTTAAGTAATCATTTCTTTTCTTTTCTCTCCTAGGTTCCCAAACACAATGTTAATGAAATCTAACCAAACAAGAATGAGAGAAATGACAATCATTTCTTTTCTTTTACTTCTTCCTTATCCAAACAAAAAGGAGAGAAATCACAATCATTTTTTTTTCTTTTCTCTTATTACTTAAATAATCATTTTTTTTTTCTTTTCTCTCATAAATTAAAAATATTGTATAAATAGGACCACACTCCACAGAAATCATCGCCTCCCAGACAACTATACAACTAGTAGTAGCAAATGGCCCGATATTATTTATTCACTGTCTTTTTCCTCTGTTCTCCTTCAAGAACCTTATTGCCCTGGTTCGTTTTATGAAGTCGGAAGAGAGTCATCGCAGAAAGATGGATTTTCAGAAAATAAAGGTCACCAATCCCATTGTTGAAATGGACGGTAAGTTTGAACAGACTTGGATTCATCTCTTCTTCTTCGCATTTGCCCCCATGTTTGATGTAATCTAATCTATAATAATATTGTAATTCTTTTTGTTGTGTTTTTGTTTTTGTTTTGTTTTTTATTTATTTATATAATTTGTCCGTATCTTCTGTTCAAATGTTTCAGGCATGGGTAATAATAGCATAGGGTTTTGATTAGTTGTTACTGATGAAGTACTAGTTGAACTTTGATCGCCGCCTTCTCTCCTTCAAATCCTTATCGAAGTAAAAATAAAAATTCCTTTGGATCTTGGATTGGGGAGGGAAAGGATAAGGAGATCATATTAATCGAAAGAACATAATTTATTCCTTTTTGTTTAGTTGGGTTAGGGAACCGAATATATTACTATTATATTGTGCGGACCGAATCCCACACTAGATGAAGTGGATCGGAGCTTTGTGACTGAATTGAACTATTCAGGAAACTAAGGGCCTGCAAAACAGAGGCACCGTTAGAGCTGCCGGGCTGGGTTTGGCCTGAAAACCCCTGGTGTGAGAATGAGTGATGGGAGAAGATGAAGTTCTCTTTCTAGGTGTAGAGAGAAGAAGAGAAAGTGTGTTCTATGTGTGATTAGATGAAATTAAGTTACCTTCAATGTGATGAGAGTGTTATTTATATAGAATAGAAGACTTAGCTTGTTCCCTAAGGTGAGATTCATAGAACTTAGATGCCTCAGGCCTCTCTTTATCATTGTTCAAGATGGTGGAGAACCACAAGTTGGTTAACCATGGAGTCATTTGCTCATTGTAACTATGTATATAACAAATCACATTCCCTCTGCAACTGTTTCCGTGATTCTAGGAAGGGGGATCAGCTGAGGTGGCATTTTGCACATACTTGCATTCACAGCTTCCATGCCTGCTCAAGAGTCCTCAGCTTGGTTTTGATCATACCTCGGCTCGGCCTTTCATGAGATTGCTCGTAGAGATGGCCTGGCCTATTTGGATGACCTTATGTGGGTTCGGCCCACTTCGATTCTGCTGATGGGTTCAGCCTAGCTCAGTACCGTGCCTGGGCTGGCCTTAGCTCAGTGTGCTTGGCCCAAGTGCTTGAGGACTTGGGAAGATGATCCATATGGAGATGGGCTCAATGGCTTGGCCCACATGGGTGTCTGGCCCATATCTAGTGGCCATTTGGGTTTGGACTTAATGATTTGGACCGGCCTAAAGCTTGGATCCTCTCCATCTATATTTTGCCCCTTCATATATTATATGATAAGAACATATAGTTTGCCAGATTTTGGCAGCCTTTTGTTTTAGTTATATCTTATTCCAATAAAATAATAATGATTTAAGGCCATTGGTTGAGAGGTCATCAATTTTTATAAGAAGAGGAGGCATGTGGTCTTATTGATAAAAAATTCGCCATTCACCCTAAATGTAATGACAGAACAAAATCCTTTTTTTGAACAAAATGCATGGCTAACTTAAAATTTTACTGCAACTGCAAAGGCCCAACAGGACCATTTTCCGGGGTGATGTACAGTAGCATAAAAAATAAAAATTTATCTGTCACTAAGCAAATCAGTGAAGAAAGAAAATCTGGTGAGGAATGACTTCCTGTTATACCATTAAAAATTTTTGCCAAGGGAATGTTCTCTTCCACATCTTCAAAAGTAGAGAAATCGGACAAGAAATTACTCCCTCCTTATTTTGAACATAGCTTTATCTACAGCCATAGGATCTCAGTATTGCCCATACAATGAAAGCAAACCTTAGTTCATGGACATCATAGGCACACTAAGAAAATAGATAACTGTCACCATATACATGTGAAATGAGAGAGGAATGAGTCAATGACTACCTTCTTATCTTTATGATGGGAAATTCTATATATTAAAGAATCCATTTCTTCTCTTTGTTCATACACACCTAAAGTATATTACAGAGAACTCCACTCTTGACCTCCTTATAAATTGGTTTCAATTGGTAACATCTTTGTTTCGCCATAAAAATTGGGTCCTTTGACCAAGCATAAGGATTCCAATAAAATTTGTGAAAATGAAAAAGGAAATGATTGTCAAATAAGATTACTACAAGGTGATTTGTATTAGGACCTGTTCTTCTACATAATATTTGGAGTCAGCATACTTCAAAATTTTAGGTGATTATCTCATCTATTAGGAAATTATTATTTATGCAATATTATATGTGGCGGTGAACTGGGAAATATTACCCTCTCTACAGCAATGTCACCTCTCAAGAGCAAAATGAAATGTTAAGATTAAAATATTTTTGCAGAAAAGAATTAGGTAAAAGTGGCTGGATTTTCTTGTGACATATATGCGTAATGCTTTAACATTTACGGAGCTTTAATTTTTACCAAGCACGCATTATGTTCCCTTTCCCTATCACATGCATACTCAGACACAAGCACATGAAAATGCACAAACGCAGATATACACATGATGTTAGTGTGTGCACCTTTCTTTCTTATTTCATTGATGCATGTGATGTAGGAGATGAGATGACTCGAGTTTTTTGGAAATCAATCAAGGATAAGGTAATTATGTTTCATTTATTTCAAAATGATGTGATGTTCTTTTCCTTTTGACTGTCGTTTCATTTTCCTTAAATGCTTATGATATTTTCTTCATTTTTAAACCCACAGCTTATTTTCCCGTTTCTGGAGTTAGATATAAAGTACTTTGACCTTGGTCTCCCTTATCGTGATGTTACCAATGATAAAGTTACAGCTGAGAGTGCTGAAGCTACTCTTAAGTATGTGTAGTCATTTTGATTTGCTTGTAGTGTTACTAAAGCCATTCTTAAGCATGCATTATTTATTTACTTTTGCATCTGACGCCTTCTTTTATTGTTTATTTATTTACTTACTTATTTTTTGGGGTGGGGGTGGCGGTGGGGGTGGGGTTTACTGTAGGTATAATGTAGCAATTAAGTGTGCGACTATAACTCCAGGTATAAATTCTTCGATTAGTTAGCAATAATGCATTTGTCTTTTACTCATCCCCTCAAAGTACTTGGCTCACTTTCAAAGTTGGTATAGTTATGTTGTTGACAAAGTATTTTTAACATTGACTTTGATGATCTACAGATGAAGCTCGTGTTAAGGAGTTTAACTTGAAACATATGTGGAAGAGTCCAAATGGGACCATTAGAAACATTTTAAATGGTTAATGAATTTTTCCCTAAGGTTTCTTTCTTTTTTTCCTTGTTCTGACCCACAACTTTTAATTTGTTTGTAATGGGACAATGTGATCTCCACTTGGTACAGGCACGGTTTTTAGAGAACCAATTATTTGCCGAAACATCCCCCGGCTTGTCCCAGGTTTTATCCATTCCCCACCTCCTTCTCTCCATCACGTGGGCATTTATTTTTATTGTTGTCATTTTTTAAATAAAATTGAGCATACAGTTGCCAATCTTGTCAGGTTGGACCAAGCCAATATGCATTGGGAGGCATGCTTTTGGTGATCAGTATCGAGCTACCGATGCAGTTATTGAAGGAGCTGGAAAACTTAAAATGGTGTTTGGTATTATTTTGTATCCACTTTAGAGCTTTATGAGGATTTCTTTGAAAAATGCTTCTTAATGATTGTTTAACGCTTTAAGATCTTATCAAGAATTGATTGTTAGAAGGGCTTCTGACAATATCTGCAGTACCAGATGGACAAGGAGAGAAAACCGAGTTAGAGGTCTTTAATTTCACTGGTGCTGGAGGAGTAGCTCTCTCAATGTATAACACTGACGAGGTTTGAATTTGACTTGTGCCCTGGTATACATACATACATATAACTACCTGATATCCGACTAGAGATCAACTAGGCAATATTAGCCATTAATTATTTATTATTTTTGAACTGGAGTGCAGTCCATTTGTGCTTTTGCTGAGGCTTCAATGAACACTGCTTACCAAAAACGGTGGCCACTTTATCTTAGCACAAAAAATACTATTCTTAAGAATTATGATGGAAGGTATGCATGCATTATGGATGCTACTATTCTTTTTAGTGAATGAAGCCATTGGTTAATATTGGTCACATTTGTTGTTGTACAAGGGATTATGGGAGTTTGGGCTATGTTTATCTTTTGTGTAAATTACATTGACCTTGCCTCTGGTTTTTGAAATTACAAATACCTCTTTTGTCAGTGTTGTCATATAAATGCTATTAACAGAGTTTAGTCTTTTACCACTTTGGCAGACCACATATGTTAATTTTATTTTTATTGCATATCATCTTCTTTCCCTCCCTCAACTAACCACTTAGACCCAATTGGAAAAAACTTCCATCACCTAACCCATCTCCATTTCGAGCCAAAGAAAAAAAAAAGAAAAAAAAAAGAAAAAGAAAAAGAAAGAAAGAAAATTTAAGGATGTGTAAAAAAAAAAAAAAAAAAAAAAAAAAAAAAGAAAAAGAAAAAGAAAAAGAAAGAAAGAAAATCTAAATTGTTGATGTCCAATGTTTTGCTAACCCAAATATAACATCCAAAGAGGGTTGAAAAGAGTAGCGAGCCAATTCAGATAGGGTCGTATAATGTTCAAACTGGTGTTAGTTGTGATACATCTCCATCTGTTGTGTTAGGTGTGATCCGTCTCCATCTCCAATGGTATGATACAACCATTGAGGTATCACATGTCTAGGACAAAGCCCATTTTCTCTCTAAGATTGGTTTGAGATGAGTGCTCGGACAAACCCTTGAACTCTATGCATGTCCTCTGGTGGTCTTGAGCGAGGTAGGCCTTGCTCCCAACCTAGGTAACGTGGCAAAGAGCTTCAGCCTTTGGAATTGAAGCTTGGTCTCTGGGGCTACTAGCGAGCCAAGTGAACCGAGCTCCGAGGTTTTGGGCACACGGGTAGTTTGAGGTCTTTGGAGATAGTGTGTAGACCTGGTCAGTCTAGGTGATGGCACTCAATTGGGCCACATGTCTCCTTAGGATGTGTAAACATTGTGCTAGAGACTTGCTTGAGAAGTCAAAGGGTGATGAAGCAATAATGTAGTGGTGACTTGTGTGGTTGGATCCACGTACCTACAATATGTTATTTTACAACCAAATTAGTAGAAAAAGTTTAGGATCATAGAAATCGATTACAAAATTGGACATAACCCTTCCATGGGTATGGAAGGGGTGAGCATTCGTCGGGCCGGGGTAACATTACATAATAAGAGATTTTGTGTCTGCTTAAGCCCGGTTTGCCCCTAACATCGGGCTTCTACATTTGCCCAAGCCCAGCCTGGCCCGACTCAAAAAATAATTATAAACCCCAAGTCCACCAATCGGAGTATATGTTAAAAAAATAAAAATAAAAATTAAATATTTCAGAATTAAATTCAATCAAACATTATATTTATTAAATAAATATATTGACATCATTATAAATTAAAAAATTGTGTATAAATTGAAAGATTTCTTAAATAAATTCAATCATACATCACTGCAAATATGAATTTCAATAAAATCAATAAAGATAAAGTCTAGATCTTAACAAAAAATACATATTTGAATACTCCATCTGTCCCAAAATATTAGTCCCTTATTCCATTTTTCATTGTCCAAAAATGTTAGTCCTTTTTAAAAAATCAAGGACTAAAATAATATGAATTTTCTATTTTGTCATTCTTTTAAATTCATTAACAATACACAAAAAGTACAATTATGACAATTGATATTTCTTAAAAAATAAACTATCAAATCAAAGGGTGATTTTGGAAAATCAATATTTTTAAAGTGCAATAATTGTACTACCAAAAAAGTTGGATTTCCCAAAAAGGACTATTATTTTGGAATGAAGGGAGTATATATAATTAATTAATTAATTTAATAGCGGGCCGGATCGGACTAGGTTGAAAATATAAATTCCAAGCCCATCCCATTAATATATTGGGCCGAAAATATTGACCCAACCCCGGTCCTATGGGCTAAAACAACTTTTCCAAGCCTAAAAAAAATAGGGTTGGGCCGGGCGGGCTAACGGGCCATCCACATTCCTAGAAGAACTTGAAATGAGCAAGGGCATGTTCAAAATTTCCACAGAAGGGCATTTAGCATTTATGAAATATAATATTTCTACAACTTGTATAAGGTAAAAGCGGAATTTTGAACTTTTAGTATGCTGAAGTCTGTAATTGAGGTAATCTGTTACTGACAACATAGCCAAAAGGGATGGTGGTGTAGTTTTGAAAACTCAAGGAGAAGCTTATGTCAGTGTAATTTATCAATATCTTTTTCCTTTTTACCTGTTGGAAATTGTAAGTTCTTTGTTCTTGTTGTTGGCTTGTTTTCTCTTTCTTCTTTTCCTAAAGATTCAAGGACATTTTTCAAGAAGTTTATGAGAGTCAATGGAAATCCAAGTTTGAGGCTGCAGGGATATGGTGAGCTATTATACTGCATGTTGTTGGCTGGTTTTTACAATTGAAGTTGTTTCTGAAAGACTTAGCAATGGTAGGTATGAACATCGTCTTATTGATGACATGGTTGCTTATGCTCTTAAGAGTGAAGGAGGTTATGTGTGGGCATGTAAGAATTATGATGGAGATGTTCAGAGTGATTTTTTAGCACAAGGTTAGTTAATTTTGTGGTAATGATTATCAAGTAAGCTCTTGTTATTTGTGAATATTGATGTTGCTTGTGGAATTGAATGTTTAATTTTCTGTTCTGGGAACATCATAGCTGAGGCAATGTCATAGATCAGATTATTTATTCTCATCAAAGTTCAAATTACCTTATTTCCCTCAGACTTTTGTTTCCCATTGTCACAGGTTTTGGTTCTCTTGGTTTGATGACATCAGTGCTGGTATATCTGCTGTGTCAATTTTTGTGTTTCTCTTCAAATGCATTCTTTTATGTGCTTCCTCATTGAGTGTTTGAGGATATGGATGGGCTCCAGGTGTGCCCAGATGGAAAGACCATTGAAGCTGAGGCAGCCCATGGCACAGTCACCCGCCATTATAGGGTTCATCAGAAAGGAGGTGAAACTAGCACAAATAGCATAGCATCAATTTTTGCTTGGTCAAGAGGACTTGCACACAGGTGTGAGATTGTTATTGCTTGGTTTTAAGTACTACTGCTGGTTTATGCTATTCTAGATCCTCCTAGACTTTAAATTTAGTTTGCCTTGCAACCTTGGATTGAAAATAGCCATGTTGATCTTAATAGGGCAAGTTTAGATGACAATGCTAGACTGTTGGATTTTACTCAAAAATTGGAAGCAGCCTGTGTTGCAAGTGTTGAATCGGGAAAAATGACAAAGGATCTTGCACTTCTAATCCATGGACCCCAGTAAGTAGTGTCAAAAATGTGTTTTGTCCATGTGTTTGCTTTTTATCTGAATTATGTATATTGTAATTGGCTGTGTTTCATGCAGGGTTACTAGTGCACATTATTTGAACACTGAAGAGTTCATTGATGCTGTGGCTGCGGATTTGAGAGCGAGATTGTCCTACAAAGCGAAGTTGTAAACTACCACTTGCTGACTTTGTTTATGCATGGCCAAAATGTTTAGGCTGCCTTTTCATTCAGTGCACAGCAATAATGCTATCTGATTTTATGTTTAATTGTCAATAAAATCTTTGGCATCTTTTTAGCTATGAAATAGAGTGAAAGGGTAAATGCTTTCTTTGCACTGTCTTGACTAAATTTTTGTTAACCGTGATTATTGGATATTTTCACTGTTGCCATTTTGTTGCCTTGTATGAGGGATGTTTTCTATGTTACCATGTTGCTATCACCATGTTTGCTACATATGCTATGCTTGTAGTGCAAAACAAAGAGGCAAGTGAGAAAGGTGAAAGATGGGTTGTTCTTTCAACTGGGTGTACTTATTAAACATGGGGAATCAAGGTCATTGATGCAATCATTCATCAATTACCACTTTGTTAGTCATTGAATTAATAGCCTTGTTAATGTCAATTATAGTGTCAAGTAGTTGTAAAAGCATTGTTTTGATGGATGTGGTTTTTACTATAGTGCGATTATGGAAGCACTTTTAACTCCTGAAATACTCACTAAGGTTGACTTTTCTAATTATCACATTTAAATAATCATTGATTCAACATTAATTTCATCTCATACATTGTGTAAAATAAAGTGCATGTAAAAAAGATGTAAACAATGATTTATAATGGTTTGCCATGCCCTATGTCTAGATCCACCATCAACCTCCCTTGAACGTCAATGATTTATAGTGGCTTGACAACCCATGTGTATAGATTCACTATTGACCTCCCTAGCCAATGTAATCCACTAATCTGAATGAATTTTTCCTAACATCTCCTAAAACCTTAACAATTTTAATTAGATTTTTCTGAGCACCACCTTCAACCTTTAGCATACTTGAATTGAATGCCAACCACCATCAAAATAACACTAAACTATTAATTTATTATTTCTTCTAAAAGGTGTACTGAATATGATTTACGTTGGTAAGGTGATTTACTAAGACTTAGGCAATCTTCTAGGTCAATTGTAACAACATTAACCCTTAACAACATTAACTCCCTATGTAATAAAATGGTTTATCTCAATTATTGAAGTAAAAATTTAGATTAATTTGTTACTAAGGCCTTGTTGGGGAACATGTTTTTTTAATAACTTTTTGACTAAAATGTGATTAAAAAAAATTAGTATATTTGAAATAACTTTTTAACTTTTTACGAAAAAATATGCAAAAAGTAAAGAGAAAAGAGAATCTTTAACTTTTTAGTATAGGTTGTTGGCTTTTTAATTTTTTTAGTAACTTTTTAACTTTTTGGCTAAACCAGTCGCCTTTCCAAACGAAGCCTAAAACAATTAGTTTAGCTAGTGACACTTGGGGTGGGTTCAGACTGGATGATGAATAAGTTGTATGGATTGGGATCTTAAAAAAAATTAGTATATTTGGAATGACTTTTTAACTTTTTACGAAAAAATGTGCAAAAAGTAAAGAGAAAAGAGAATCTTTAACTTTTTAGTATAAGTTGTTAACTTTTTAATTTTTTTAATAACTTCTTAATTTTTTGGCTAAACCAGTTGCTTTCCAAACGAAGCCTAAAACAATTAGTTTAGCTAGTGACACTTGGGGTGGGTTCAGACTGGATGATGAATAAGTTGTATGGATTGGGATCTTTGAGGTCTACTGTTGTTTATCTTCCAAACAAAAAAACAAAAAAAAATATACTTCTATGTAGGGCTCCGGGAATTTTTTTTTTTTATAAAACAAATTATTCCTACACACTTAACACTTTGTTTTCCTATAATCTTGCAAGTGCATTTCCACACTTCCTACTAATCCATTTCCCTATAATCTTGCAAGTGCATTGCCATCCTTAAACGGGTGCAACCAAAGCTAGAGGATATATAGCTGGCTTTTGGTTACAGTAATTTTGAACTGAGTGCCACTAAAGCTTAAGGATAGTTGGCTATTGGTTACAATAATCTTTGAACTGAGTGCCAAATATTACAATAAACAAAAACAACAGGCAGGAAAGAAAATCATGTCAGGGTATAAACTGCAAAACTAACAAATAGTCCCAACAAGGCACCTGCTATCACTTCAATCTCATTGTGGCCAACAGATTCTTTTAGCATGGCCCAACTATTTGCAATTTTTTTGGATTCTCCTTCAACATTAGATGGTAAGCTAGATGAAATCAGGATACCACTTTGACTCTTTCGATTCTCAGATCTAAGTAATAGTTTAGCGTTTGTCTGTTTTGCTTGAAAGGTATCTGCTTCCTCCAAGAACAAAGGCCCAAAACTTTCTAAATTTGAGGATGATTTTCTAGGTTGAGAATCAATCAAATCATCGGCATCATTCGAAGAAGCTGAGTTCTGGAGCAAAACCCTGTTTAATGCCTTTGCATGAATGCCCACTTCCCTTCTCACTCCCTGCAAAAGTAAAAATTCTGAATGAGGCTTGATACTTTTATGTTATGTTGGATTTGGGGAGGGATTTAGAAAGAAAAAGAGAAAAGATGTGTGAAATTAGGTGAAATGTAAGTATATTTTATTCACATTTCATATATATTTTCCATTTCCTTTTCCAAATCCCTCATCAAATCTCCCAACCAAACAGAGGTAGTCTGAACTCATTATCTACCCACAGAAACAACTGCATATCTTTCAATGGGCTGGAGATCAATCAACATGTTTTGGTCACTATTGTTTGATACACTAGAGAAACTAGAGTCGCACATCTTTTGGTTCTCAAAAAATAAACATAATTCAATCTTCATGGGGATCTAGTTTAACTTTCAATCGCCAATACCTCCCAAATGAGGTGTTAGAGCACTTGAATGTGAAACATGATAGACAATTAGTAAACCATTGGACAAGGATGAGTCAAGTCTATGAATAACCAACCATAAAGTTATAAGAATTAACAAGGGCCTCAGTAATAGAATTAGTAGTGATTATAATGATGATGGCATAACCAAAAGTTCAGTAGTTGCACATAGCATAACTAAAAGTTATAAGAGATGCCAAGGACAGCCTTCTCTCTCCCAATCAATGGGTTTGATGTGATATTTTGTCTTATTAGCTATTTTAGCCTATTTTGTCTTTTTGTGATTTTTAGCCTAAATTTGGCTATTTTTTTTTTCTTCCCAAACACACCCTTAATCTGGTACGTGGTGGGATTCTCATTGGCAAACATTCAGCAAAGACACATTGCTAACAAAAGCTGACATTTCTGTCATCCTTAATGTGGGCAGATCTGTATTAGATAAAAGTTTATGTGACACAAGTAGGTTTGTGCCCAGATTTTGGTAAACCAAGCAGCCAAACTGAATTGCATCAAAGCAATGTTGTGATTCATGACACTTTTCCTTCTGAAGTAGGAGATCTGCATAAGTCTATATGAGATGAGAATAAAATAGAAAAAACACACTACATGTATACCTGAGCGTCATACATGATAAGGCTAGCATAAACAACTGCTAAACCAAAAACTGCATCCGAAAGACCTCTGCAATCATAAGATCAACAGTAGATATTAAACCTCCTCGAGAAATATATCAGCAACTTGCTCACCCACCCACACCAAACCAATCAACATGCACTTCCAAATGTTAAAAAAATACAGAATCTGCAAACATCACAGAATCTGCAAACATCCACCTTCGGGAGGGCACAACGGAAATGCAGCATTTTACCAATTTTACCCACCGTTCAAAGCCAAGGGACATCGCGGTGGCCACAGCTGCCTGTCACAATTGGAGAAGACTATAAATTATAGGAAATTCTATTGAAAACGAAATGAACCATGATATTGTTACTGCAACCGACAAATCAAAATTAATTACAGAGGAATGAATACGTGGTGACAAAGTATTCATTACGGAGGAATGGGTAGAAGGGAACCCTCCAGACCGAAAGACTGTCTTAAAATCAAAATTGTTGCTGTTGCCATAAAGGATGGCAGAAGTGAAAGGCTTTGACAGCTGCCCAATTGTTGCGGATACAGCCGCTGAAATGAGAACCTACACACATGCATACATAAAATTAAGTAGATAATTAGAAGAAATAACCACAAATAGGGGGGAGGAGGGCGGAATTAAAAATAATTATAGTAGGGGTGAGAAGTTATAAAAAATATATACATATACGAAAACATGGTACATGGTGTTTTCGGCACTTTCGTTCCTTAGAAGACAGATTGAATTCAAATGGAGACTTGAACCAAAAGACCTCCTCCAGCCTGATCTCTAATATCATGTTAGATGGCCTTAGATGGCCTTAGATAGCACTCAACCCCAAAATTAACTCTTGAGGTGAGGGTGAATTTACACTTATCTAGTACACATCAATGACATACCTAGGCGATATGAGACTTCATTTCACACCGTCTCTATGCTCACTTAGCAGCACCCACCCACCGCAATACAAAGGATTGACCACCTTTTTACAATTATTTGCTCAAAACAATGAAGAAATAACTATGGATATAAATAAATCGTAATGATTTCAACAAGTCGAAACCCCAGTTCCGCCATTATCTCCGCGTTGGGTCACGAACATTTGAATTCACACCTTAATAATAATGCCCCCCCAAGTGTGATCGGATGCGTAGAGGAGAATGCAAAATTGATGCCCAGATTTTCTTTGATTATGAAATTTCGGAAGATTTCATTCCCCTTAATTCCTCCGGCAAATAAACAAAAAATAAATAATAGAAATAAAAATAACAATAACAATTACAACAAATAAATAATAATTAAAAAAGATGCTAATGGTAGTAGAATAATAGGTTGTGTTACCTTGTTGTGGGCGATTTCATCAATTTCAAAAGTGACACATACGAAAGTCGTCCGAGGAGGAGGACCAGAAGAAGCTTTGGTCTTTCTTCCGAGAAGGCCGTAGTCGGAAATGAAACTCCTGCGGTTCCTCAAGTGTGACCATCTATGGCAAACCACGCCACTCGAAAAGCTTGAAGCTTGCAATAACATATTTTCTCCCTCTCCTCTCTCCTCTCTGTACCACCACACCAGTCAACCACGAAAACAAGCCAACCGATCTCCTCTCTCATCGAATAATTAATGAATCCATCATCAGCCGCTACGACGACTGCGTGTGCCTGCCTGCTCGATTTAATTCGGGTCATATTCAGCCCTCGCATGTATCATGTTTTTTTTAATAATTATTTAGTCTTTTAATTAAAATATGATGTAAAAAAAATTAATATATTTAGAATAATCATATCTCATGTAATCTTGTCTTCAACATGTCTAGCCACTTCATTCATTAATTGCAAAGAAAACATTCAATAAGCTTGTAACAGTTTCATTTAACCCAAAGATTCACATGCTTGGAGAGTGAACTTTTAGTTGCAATATATGTATATATATTACTCAGATATCTACAACATACCCATTTATGTACATATGTATTTACTTACGAAAAAAGTAGTGATTTACAAACAGAATTTATAACTAGAACATGGCATGTTAGTTTCTAATTATTTCATAACAAATATCCATCATCATTGTTATTATTTTCTGAAGTAATAGTGCCGTGTTATTCTAGTTAGAAATTCTTTTTATGAAGCATTCCCAGTGAAATAAATCACTGTATTTGCTTTGGCCCACTACCTTGTTGTACAAGACTTATTTGACACATTCCAACTTCTATAAAAATATGAAACATACATTCACTTCCAGAAAAGCACCTAGATGTTATATCCATATGGTTTCCTGAATACTTCACTCACCTTCTGCGAAGTCCAAGTGATTAAACTCTTGATATTGGATTATAGAATTCCGTTGGTTGGTGTTGAAGTTGTTACCTTCGGACTGGTTTGTAATACATAAATTCGATTCAGTTCTGCGGTCGCTCCATTGATCATCTCTGTCAGTTACCTTCTTGGGTTGGATGAAATTCTCATACTGAGTTCCTTCAGTGGGCTGCTTTCTCTTATGTCCATTGATCGAACTGTTGAAAGGTGGGACTGAGTATTGTGAATAGTTTGTCAGAATAGCCTTCACAGACTGAAGTAGAGGTTTTGCTAGCTTCAAAGCTTATGCTAGAAACTGTGTCCATGGAAGACCCAATGATTAATGGTAGCACCAGGCAATCTCTGTACAGAAATTCTCTGATCATTTCAAGTTTGGCATTTGTACTTGTAGAGCATGGTTCTTCACAAAGTGATTCATTTCTATAACCAAATTGATCTTCCAAACTGTTCCTTATACTGTTTTTCTGCCGAAAGTGGCAGAGTACCCAATCATCGAACTGTTAAGAAGAAAAGCATTTGATCAATCTCTGCTTAGTGTAAAAAAATAGAAAAATTATCAATATTCTTGTGCTGGTATGAGAGAGCGCTATGCTATGTCGTAGATCTCTTTGCTGGATTTGACAGAGTTTTGATTTGTTTCAGCTGAGATCCAGTCGAAATTTCTGTATTGATATTATGCTGTTGTGCATAATTCTTGGGATTGCCGCCTATCTATACAAGTAAGTTTCACTTTCTCAAAAAAATGGAGAGGAAATGTTTTATCTAATTCTTGGTAATAGCTAACATGCTTAATGGACTCTAGAAAATAATTTCATGCATGGGTGAAGTTATAGTTAGAAGCCAATAATTTAACTTATAAACTAAAGCTGAGTGCATGGTTATTCTGGTTTGGATCTTCTTCTTGGTTTATTATTATGTTTTATGATTGGCAGAGACCGAGAGGATTGAAGGCCATGGGAAGCAGCATGGAGAGCGATTCAGAATGACAATGAAGGATGGATGAGGGCTTTCCTTTGGATTCTTATTTCTCTTCTTTTTTCTTTTTTCTTTTTTTCCTTTGATCTGATTGGGGAGTTGGGTGTTTTGGTTCACTTTCTTCTTATTTTTTGTGTTAAATGGGGGAGGGAGTGGTGAGAGATAGAGAGAGAGAAGAGAGTAATATTATTTTGTGGCTTTGTATACAAAGTAGTAATTAATTTTTTGGTTGAGAATTGTGAATACAATTTTTGGGGGTAATATTAAAATATCATTTGTGGATATGTTATTTTGTGGGTAATGGTGATTGGTGAATGGGAAAGTGAATTAATGATGCATTTGTTATTTGAATGTAAGTTATTATTTCATATTAGTGTTATTCAGTTTTATTATATGTATTTTTTTAATTTAATCACATAAATTAGCACAATTTTTTTTTAAAAAAAGAAGAGATATCACGGCGTTTTTTAAAAAACGCCACTTTACACCTTAAATATTAACGGTTAGATTTTTTAAAAAAGATATGACGGCGTTTAAAAAATGTCGCTAAATATCATAATGACGTCATGATACTGTCAAGAAAGACATTTGGCGGCGTTTTTAAAAACGCCGCCTATACTAATATAACGACGTTTTTAAAATGTCATAAAGTTATAGCGACGGACGCGTCCTCGGCGCTTGGTGTAAGCGTCGCAAAAAGAATTAGCGGCGTTTTTGACACTTATAGCAGCGTTTTTTAAACGCCGCTAAAAGCTGAATTTCCTGCAGTGGAACCACCGGCATCAGTGTCGGTTTCAGTTTCCTTGGCCGTGACTTCTACAACGCCCTTGCCAGTAAGTATCATTATTATTATTACCGTCATTACAGTTATTTTCATACTCCTTGTCTAACTGCTTTTTTCATTCATTTATTTATTTCTTTTCGTTTGCTGCCCATTGAACTGCCAAAACATGTATCTGAATTCTTAATTCATCATTGATTTTGTTTCAATCCCATGAAAAGACAAAGACCAAGAACAGTTCACCAAGCAACTGTTGTACTACCTCGGTGCTTTTGCTGGTGGAATTCCGGTGAGCAAATTGCTCTACTTTCTTAGGTATTGCTCACTTAGACTCTTGCTTTATGGTTATTGGTAAACACCAATATTAGGATAAAATACACCTATTATGCATTCAGTGTTCACTTTGGTTATCAAACTTTTAATTTTGTCAATTTCATCCATCAAATTTTCCAATTCGAGTCAAATTAGTCCAATTTAAAAGATGTCATATAAATCATAAACAAAACAGTAATAAAATATCCATATGATCTGCAAAGTATGCGTTTCATGTCCACTTGGTCCACAGAGTTTCAATTTTATCAATTTCATCCATAAACATTGTAATGGAGAGAACAAAACACAAGATGAAAAAAACAAGAGTTTCAATTTTATCAATTCCGTTTTGTGTCACTTTATGGACCCAAGTGACACAAAACGCATATTTTAAGGACTATAGTTGTTTTTTTATTACTATTTCATTAATGATTTAGATGGACGTACGAAATTGGGAAATTTTCAACTCAAATTGAAAATTTTAGAGACAAAATTAAAACTTGGAAGGAGGACCAAATGACACAAAATGCATATTTTAGGGACCATGAATATATTTTATCCAACAAAGTTATTATGTTGAAATCATTAGGTGAATATGGCATACCCTGAACAACCTTAAAAAAAGAAAAGTTCTTTATGAACAACCTAAACATGCTATCCATTCTTGGCTTTTGACCTTTGTTATTGTTTTGTTTTCGATAAATACGTGGAAAATTTTGTGTTTTCTTTTACTTCTTGATTATGTGTAGAGTAGATCTACATGTCTTTTCTTTGGTTTAATATTTTTTAGTTTGAGCTGTCAATCCTGTTCATACAATTGTTTTGCAGATTTTTGTGTTGAGAGACTATGCCAGAGAAACTCTTTCTTTGAGGTGGAGGTCTTGGATGACAAACTATTACATAGATCGCTATCTAAAGAATTGGACATTCTACAAAATACAGTCCCAATCAATAATTGACAATCCAGATCAGAGGATTGTTGATGATCTAAGTTCCTTCACTGGGACAGCACTTTCATTCTCTCTGACACTATTCAATGCTGCAGTAGATTTGGTATCATTTAGCAACATCCTGTATGGTATCTATCCGCCATTGTTTGCTGTACTTCTTGTTTATTCAATCGGTGGAACAGCAATAAGTGTTTTCCTTGGGAGGGTGAGTTCCTCTTCTTTGACGGTCATATTTTTGAAACTGCAGTGAAGCTTCTTGGAATAAAAGGTGGTATTTACTCCAAATGATGGGAAATGTTTCATCTGCAATTTCAGGGACTAGTAACCTTAAACTTTTTGCAAGAGAAAAAAGAAGCAGATTTCCGTTTTGGACTGGTACGTCTTCGAGAAAATGCTGAATCAATTGCATTCTACGCTGGTGAGGACAATGAAAAGCAACTACTGCTGCAACGCTTCAGAAGTGCTTTTGAAAACTTAACTGTATGGACTACCTTTTATTCTTTTGATGTTTCTGCTTCCATAATAAACACCTTTATATAGAAGGTTTATTGCTATTACATTCCTTGTTGATGATCTATTCTATTGTCTCTCTCTCTCTCTCACCAACGCACATGCACATTGAGGAGAGTGATTGAGAAAAGACTAAGACAAAAAAGAAGAGTATCGGAATATTGTTTTGTTTTATGTTAAAGAGATCAACTAGGAAGCTATTTGAAAGAGTTTCTATAATAGTGTCAATTGTGTTGGTCTCAAAAAAGGAGGAGTAGCAACTAATTTTTTTTGAAGGAATAGAGAACGTGGCAAGGTAATAGCCATAATAAATTAGAGTAAAGTTTCAAACTTTAATAGGCTCTTATTAGTTTCAATTGTTTGTTTTTAGTTTTAGCTCATGAAACTCTAGTAAGGGTAAATAATTGGGTTAATTACACCTTAACTATCAATGAATATCATCTTACCCCTCTCAACTTTAAAACGGTACATTCAGTGAGTTGAGGGGTGTGAAGTGTAATTAACCTTAAATAACAGGGATTGGGGCAGTGGATGAGACTCTTGAGAGGTTAATTGGGGAATTCTTGATCTTTCTTGTTTTTTTTTTGGTGGGGGGGATAAAAAAATATGATTATATTAAAAGGATGCCAAGGGAGCATCCATCGCCCCTATACATTCAATGGTGTGTCATGTGTAAAGGAGGTGAGGAGATTTTTGTTCACCTATTTTTGCATTGCCCCATGGCTATTCACCAAGATTTTCCAACTTTGAATAGCTATGAAATTCTAAAACACAAAACTCTGGATTTCAATAGACACACATGTATATATATCGGTCACCTATATTTGTCTAAAATAATAAGAGATATCTAAAATTGAAATCGCATAAGTCTTTAGATAAAACATGCCAAACTTTATATAGGTTGAGTTTTTCTTCTTTCTTTTCTGTTGTTTATTTTTAGTCAGAATTTAATTTAAAGCTTTAAATTTTTTTCAAGCTCAACTTAGTCGATGCTCAATCTTGGCTTGATTTTGGTTGGCCGAATGGGCAAGCTTCGAGTTTGGCTTGTCCTATTGGTAGATGTATTTATGGTGCAGAATGTTGAAAAGTTAAAAAATAATATGTTCATAGTTCACAAATTGAGTGTAATTGAGGTGGATATGTAACGAAGTTGAGAAATATTTATGAATGGACAAATATGTGAGATGGTAGAGGTAGTACTTATCAAAGATAAACTGAGGGTAAATTGATTTAGATGGTTTAGCCATATACAACAAAGACCAATAACTGCATCAGTTAGGAAGAGTAACATTGTCTCCATCAAGAATATTGCAAGGGGAGGGGGGAAGTCTAAAATTTTCTGTTGAGTTAGTAAGGAATGACGTGTTAGCTTGTAATTTAACTGAAGTTATTACCCTTAATTCAGTTGATTGGCAAGATAACATTTATGTAGTTGAACTCGAAGTTGGGATGAGGATTTGTTGAGTTGAGACTACTGTGAAGATAACTTCCGAACTATTGACAATAATACTGAAATTGAGGTCTAATTATCAAACAAGTTGTCTCAAATCTCTCACTTGCAAAACAACATGATATCACAACATCAAGAATCAAAACTTCGGCAAACTACATCTATAAAGCTCCATGTCGTAGCTTCACCCAATTTCTTTCCTCAATATTCAAGTTCAAACGAGGTGTTTTGACAAAATTCTAATAGCCTATAATACACTTTGCATAGAAATATGCATAACATGTTTCAAACCCAATATGTATGGATAGGCATTTTGATTTTCGAATACTACTTCTAGTCCTTATAAAATGAAAATCCTTTTATTTCTAGTCTACCTAGTTAAAGGCTTTCACTTGCTTAGTTGCCTTTGTATTAATGAGAAGCTTCAATCAGAAGGACCAATTGTTGGAAAATAATAGTTTTTCGGCAACTTTAATGCTAAATTAAAGTGGGACCCGACCGTCGGTTGAGGTGGGTCCGAGTGGGTTTGTATTTTCTTAAGTGGGAAGGTTACAATATAAAAATAATGAGCCGAAACCATTGAGTTGTGAATGAGAAATTGTCTCATAAAGTGGGCATCAATAGAAGTTGGGCTTGGGCTTGGGCTTGGGCTTGGACTTGGATTTGGACTTGGACTTAGTCTTAGTCTTAGTCTTGGTTAGGATTGGCCTAGGCTTGTGTATGTACATGTGTATGATTAGTCTTGGGCATAGGCCAGGTTATGCTATGCTGGGTCGGGGTGGGCTTGTCTTGTGCATATGCTTCAGATTGGGCTTGGATCGGGTTGTGACTCAACACCTGTATCTGTTTTGCGACCCATCTGTTTGAATTTTTCAAACATTATTAGATACATATTTATTTGTATATATTAAGCACATGAGAGTTTTAGACTTTCGTAACTCTTATCTTTTGATGATAGAGTTGATGACCATATTAGTGGCCAAGAGTTTTTAACCTTTGTAACTCTAGTCCTAATGGTTAAAGTTGATGACGTTTGATGGCAATTTGATGACCCTATTGATATTAGCCTTCATGGCTAATGCTCTCCTCTACTGGTATAAATAGAGGCCTTTTCCCTCCAACTTAGGAAAAAAAAATGAACATTGGATTTTTTAAGATGGAAAATTTGTATTTTCCTTTCGTGAAAAAGTTGGAGATGTGTTTACATCAAAGGAAAAATTCCAAGGTTTTTTTTCCTATCTTCTTTTTGGTAGCCTTTTCTTTGGTTCTTGTTAGAGAGAGAGTGTTGCTCTTAGTCATTTCGCCAAAGCTATCCAGGAGGTGCTCCTGCAGTAGTTGGTTTCAACCATCGTATCCTAGCAGATAGACACTGTTAGAATTTATCTCCACCTACCACCTCCACTATCACACACTCCACACCTACCAACTCCACTATCACACACTCCACCTACCACCTCCACTTCACTCCTACACCTACTACCACATTTTCTTCTATATATAGGAATCCTTGTAATTGTAATCTATATCAATCTTGTAATACATAAAAGCATCAATCAATAATACATATATGTTTACATGGTATCAGAGCAAGGTTAAGAATTTAGTATTTTTCACTTCACCGGCGGGCGGCAACCTCGCCTTAGCCGCCCGCCGGACCTCAACCTAGTCCGCTGGAATTTTCTACACATACCTTCACTTTCTTGCATCTTCCAACTCATCAACAAAATCCCCACCGCCTCTTCTCCTATTTTCACTCTTCGTCTCTCTCCTCTTTCTTCTTCTCCAAAATCTCAATCTGCTATTCGTTTCTTGACCTCTCTACACTCTCCTTCGTCTGATTCAATGGCTTCTTCCGATGCATCTCTTCTTGTCACTCTTCAATCCATCAATCCCAAGGTATCACCCACTTCCGATACATTTCTATACATACATGCTTTCAATTTTTTTTTTTTAGTTCCACACTAGTTTTCACTGTTTCATCGTTTCTATTCATAGCTACTACTCTCTCTCTCTCTGTCTCTCTCTCTCTCTTTAAATTTTATTTAATCGTGTTCTAGGGTTTATTCTAACTGCGCACACACTCATTTCTATTTAGATCATCAATTTTTTTTTTTGTTTTCTTATCGAAAAAGTAAAATCAAAATTTTGAGTCCTGAGAAATGGTTGATTTGTGACAAAAACACGGATTGTTATTGTGAGGCTATTAATTCTGCGATTGGTATATCTTAATTAGTTGCTAGACCTAAACGACATTCGCATGATAAAAGCACACCTATAGTTGAAACAACTAAAACAAGGGAATTTCTGGTTTTAACAAATCAAAGTATCAACAAATCAACTATCAATTGAAGAAGAACAAAAAGGTGTAATTGAACGGATTCAACATATAATGGATCTATCTTTAGTATAAGATTCCACAACTGTGTTAAAGATCAACAAAGCAAGCATAAACCCCAAACTAAACAAGAGTAGCGATTTTATAAATGTCAAGCTGAGGTGGTGATTGATTGTGGAGGAAAATTTTAGTTCACATCAGAACACTATGGTGCCAATTGATACTGAGACTAGCTTTGCCTGACTATTAGAATACCATGGCGCACAAAGCCAGCAAATTAATCACTTAATAATAATGAGCTTCTCCTGCAAATGTTTAAACAAGACCTGGACAATGCAAACTGAGATGTGCGATGCTCCAATGGTGAATGACAAAGAGACAATGAACTTTAAAGGGTTTTTCTAAATGATGTAATTGGATTTTTTGATTTGTTTATTGTTTTGATATACCTTAAAGGGTAATTTGACAAAAAACGGGTGGAGAACAAAAGCTGTGATAGTTAACAAAATAATGGGTAAATTATCTACAAGTCTTTTTTGAAAAGTGCATGTTCTATTTAATTTCAAAACTTTTTAGATAGACTCAAAAGTCCTGTATTCATTTATTTTCTTCTCTTTTCCTGCACCTTACTTCTTCTCTTTATCTCTCTTTCTCTGATATTGACGATGACCACGACTACGCCTTCATTCTTTTCTCTCTTTTTCTAATCTACAATCACCAGTGACACCACTGATTGGAGTTCACCGGCAACCGCTAAGTACCGACTCTTTGTTTTGCACTCATCGACGGTGAAGGAGATGAGTTTCTGACGAAGAAGCTGAGTAAATCTACTCAAATTTGATATAGGTCTACTCAAATCTACATTAGATCTAAGTAGATCTACATTAGTTTGAGTTAGATCTAAACCAAAAATAGTCGCTAGAGTACAATCTTCTCTATATATTTGTTTCTCTCTTTTAATCTCTCAATTTTTCTACCTTTTCTCTACTACACACTTCTATTTTCCTATTTTAATATAGAAAATTTTCAAATTCTGAACAAATTGTTTTCGAATTTTAGTTACAAGTGGTAAAAACTATAAAATTTTACAGTTTCAATTTTTTTGATACTGAAATGAATCATGCTTTAAAACTGTAATTTTACAATTTCATAACATGTTTTTCAGTTTAATTAATGAGAATAAATGCTTAATAGAATCAAGCGTCAGTTTCAAAGCTTACTTTTCAGTTTGATCAATATTGAAGATTATTTGCTTAAACACTACAAAAATTGAAAAATAATATATATTTTTTCCGTTGTTTTTGTTTGCTGTTGTTATGGTTTTTTCTTCTTTCAAGTTGTCAATATTTAACACATTTTATTACGTTTTTTTATTTTAATTTCTTAGTTTATTCCTCTTCTTTTTTTGACAATATTCTAGACATTTTGATGAGTATTCAACGATTTTCTTGATATCCAACAAACATTCTAGACATTTTGACGACTTCCGGCAATGTTCAGAACACTCTCGCAATACTTTGATGAATTTCTGATGATATTCCGGCGACTTCTCGGTGATATTGAACATTCTAGCGAATCTTCAGTGACCGTCTGATGACGGAAGTCCAGCGATGGTGAAATGTAACAGTGTCTTTAATTTTTTTTAATTTTAAAAATAAATTTTTTTGATAATAATTAAAAATATATAGAACTAATTGATGTAAGTGTTTTGTTTTGAAATTAAATAAATTTTGAATTTTGTATATGAAATTTATCAATAAGTTTTCCAAATAAAAAACATAACATAAATAGAACCGAACATTTTATTTATTTATTTATTTTTGACACTTTTTTCTCCGTATGAACTGTCCATTGGGCCAATGAAGCTTCTTTAAAATGTCAAAGGTGGAAAACCCACAACTTCCACAATGGACTCTGGACTTGATCAGACAAGAACTCCTTTGCCATGAACTAAGAGCCCATGGACCAACAACAAAACCTCTTTTGTTGTGATTTGGGTGGATTTTATTTATAAAGTGGCCAGGCTCGTATATAAGCCCAAAACAACAGACCAACAAGAGGTTCTATGAAGATAATAGG